GAATGAGTTCACGCAAAGAAGCTAAAACTAATCTCAATTTTGTCAAAGATTATATAGCTTTATGGTCTCATCTCTCCACCTGATTGCAGTAAAAAAGGCATATACATATGTACTCTTATCATTTGCATATGTGATTTGTCATACCGTTCTGCATAATAACCAAAATCAAATTAGTCCAATTCTGTTAGGAAACTGAACAACAAAAGAAAAAATATAAACATATACTCAATGAGATTCTTATCTTGGAAGCCTAACACATGCTTTGTCAATATTACACCAATACGACCATAGCTCCACACCACCAATTATACAATTTGTGATAATAAGTTCAAAGGATCACACTCAAATAACTCACATCCATCAACACACTAGAAAGAAAGTAAAGAAACAAAGAGTAGTAACAACAAGAGAGGTATCAATTAATTGGCCATTGGTCAAAGTTGTTTATAAGAGAGATGTCATATTACTTATTTACTTACATCTGAGCACAAGAAAAGCTTCACAAAGTTCTGTGCAAGTTGCCAGAGAGTTTCTCCTTCTTGTGGTCTTAAAACAGCAAAAAAAAGGTTAGACTAGTTTAGCTTCCAGCTATTATCACCAACACAAATCCTATCCTGGAAAATGTTAATAACTAGAGCATTCTTAGGCAAGAATCACTTGCAAGGACCTGTTCTCATTTGTATCGAATACTCACATCATACACAAAATGTATAACAAAAAGTAAAGAAATAATATCTTACACAAGTAAAAGAACAAGGTAGGAACAGACAAGAAGTTTGAAGATTAGGAATCAAGATTCTGCAAACAAAAGAACGACATGGATTATCAGAATCATTACAACATAACTCATCTTTAATTGAACAGCTACAAAGCCGTAAATACCTTGTAGTTCTTGTACTGAACAGCTACAGAGCGGCAACTACAGATCCACAAATCCAACTACACATCAGAAAAAGAAACATGAGACATCAATAATCATGAGAGCAGTGGCAGCGACCGGTAAGGACTAGAGACAAGAGCTAGGAAACCAAATTAGCATATACGAGAGCAATAAACTTTTTCACACTAAGCATTATCTCAAGATACAGAAAAAATAGAGTCTAAACTCAGACAAAAAAATCAATCGAAAACACTGATTGAAAGTCGAACACCCAAGCTCACATAAGAAAGAAACATGATTCAAATCAACAAACAAAAATCCAAAACCCAATTACTTCAAAAACAACAAAAACAGATGAAACACAAACTGAATCATTGAGAATAACGAACACCCATACATATATTTTACCTTTATGTATCAAAATCGAACACCCATACTTATGAACAATTGAACAATGTTTTGTTATAATATTGATGAGAGGAGGAAGAAACAGAGTAAGAGACCATTGTCTCTTCTCTTTCTAAACAAGACAAGAAGTAAAACTGAAACTTTTATATATCTCCGACACTTGTTATTTACATCAAGACTAACTTTGGTTTATATATGGAAAACAAATAGCTAGGACACAACAATACAGTGACTTGTGTCTCTTCATACTTGTGACTCGTGAGTGAAACAACACAGACCGAAACATCACAACTCATGAAACGTTGCAACTTAGAAAACTCAATTATTGACTAACATCCAAAAAGAAATAAGACAATATGTTCCCATATCAAAAACGACAATACCAATTATCATATCGTACATAAGAACAAGAGCATGAGTAAAGTGATAAACAGCTAATTCCCATTATCTTTCATTAAAAAATTCCACAAACTTCAAACCGGTTCACCCTCCAAACAATATAGCATATAGCACTTTTTTATTTCAAACAATATAGGTGAATAACCTATTTACGGCGGTGGTAGTGTTGATAATGTGATGGTGGTGGTTAGGCCTGGGCGTTCGGATATTCGGGTCGGGTTCGGGTCGGGTTTTTCGGGTTCGGGTTTTTCGGGTTTAGAAAACTAAGACCCGTTCGGGTATATTAAAACTTCGGGTTCGGATCGGGTTCGGGTCGGGTATTTCGGGTTCGGATTCAGGTTTACCCGAAGTATCCAAATATTTAAAAATTTGTATCCGATTCTATGAAAAGTATTGAAAATACTCAGAAAATCTATAAATTTTAAGTATTTTATACCCTAATCTAACCAAAAGTAGCTAAAACATCCGAAAATATCTTAGCATCCGAATAATTTAGACACTTAGACTATTACAAGTATAAATATTACTAATATATTATAGCTATGTATTTATATTTCGGATATGTTCGGGTACTTGTTCAGGTTCGAGTTCGGGTCGGGTTCGGGTTCGGGTTTTCGGGTTGAGAAGTTTAGAACCCGTTCGGGTATTTTAAAACTTCGGGTTCGGGTTCGGGTCGGGTTTTTCAGGTCTGGTTTGGTTCTTCGGGTTCGGGTATTATGCCCAGGCCTATTGGTGGTGATGATAACGTGGGTACTAATGACATATAATGGTTGTATTTGAGATGATAAAGAAAGAAATTGATGATAGAGAGAAAGAAAGAAAAAGACAAAAAATACATAGAAAAGAGATGACATGTGAACAAAAGGGTAAATTAGTATATATTATATGTTATACGTAGAATATTGTAGTCAACTTTTTTTTAGGTTAGTTACTAAATTATTAAAAATTTTATGGTTATACAGCCTAATTTCTCTAAATTGGAACATTTTATATGTAAAATTTTAGGTTCCCTCTACTAAAGGTATTGTATATTCTGTGGTATATACTTTTACGTCTAATCTTTAATTGATCCATTGGAGACCGATTAGTAATGTTAAATACTCAAGTACACCTAAAAGTCTACTTCCTGATGCTAAAATTATTTAGTTTCACTAATCGTGGTTCTCCTAAAAGCCGCCACGAATTGGTCTACATGATATTTCACACGCAATTAGACTGAATTGTCTTAGGATCTATAGTTTATTAGCTAGTTTATTCAACTTTATCAATCATTATAAAACTTTTGACTTGAAAAGTTGTGATCTGTTAAATTTTCTGTTTCTTTATATGTATATTTTCGTATTTCAAATTGAATCCATTCGCAATCTCAAACCAACACTAGAACAATCAATGAGCTCATTAGATTCCAATGTAAAATCTAGCAAACAAACTTTAAGATGTTTTCTTTATAGTCTTTTTTATATTTTCGACAAATCAAATATATTATATTATAAAAAGTGTTATAAAGTAAATAAACAATTCCAATACAACCGTTGACGCAAATAGAGATAATTGTATATAATTTCGATAAAAGAGTGGAAGTGACCAAGCTTTCCAATCGAAAATTTTAGACCATGTTCATTGGTCATCCCATGAGGGAGTCTTTAAATATAAAAAATAAGAAAAATAAATAAATGAAGGCGTCTTTAAATGTGTGAATATGTAAAATTAATGTCTCTAGGAAAACACTTAATATCTCTAAAATAGGAGTGTCTTTGAATTTAATATTAATTTATTTTTAAAACACCCATAAAGGTATGACCAATAAAGATGGTATTACATGCTAACAAATAGAATCTATTACGTTCTTCGCTCATACACTCGTAGTTGGCTATCCTCTAATAGATGAAACTCCAAAATTTATATCGCATGACTTTGATTAAAAGAAGAAAATTACATGTTGCTGTAATGGATTTTAAATCATTAGATCTAAAACTCTATAACATATACATGTTTTTTTATAGTCTATTAGCAAATACTAGAACACAAAGTTTTCTTTGTACTAATCCTAAATTTTCTTTTTTCTTAACTTGATTTTTGGAGACTTATCAATCACAAAAAGTGACAAAGTTATATTCTGTTATGTAAAAATGTTCTTTGGCAGAAAGAATGTTTTAATTTTCTAAATAATATATATCATATTTATTTCAACCATATATTAAAAATAAAAGAAATGATTTTCATTGTATCGTACCTGCAGCATTGGACTTTCACTATTATTTTGCTATGTTTCACTGTTCTGGTATATAACAAGATGACACCTAAAAATGTTTTTTTTTTTTTTTTTTGTGTTTGCTTGTATGTGTTAAGTGTTAACCAACCTCAACCTATTTCTTGTATCTATACTATTAATTGGGAAGGATTACATGAAAAATAACCTTACAAAGTGTAAATAATTACAAGAGAATGCCATTACAATTAAAATTTCAAAGACAAAATAAAAATTTGCGTGGAGGGGTAATATTGTAAATTTACCGCATATGGGACGCGGATCCTGGATCTTAAAGTCGGGTCCTTTCTTTTGAAACAAATCTGACCCGAATATATCTGTTAAAATATCTATTGGGCTTACGAAAAATTAGGCCCATCCTGTTAAGACTTCTACTACAATATTTCGAATCTGCAGTAGATAATACCAAATAAAATCATTAGCTACACAAATCAAACAATACCATAACTATTATTCCGGATCAATTATACTACTCTGTATATTGCCTTAACTAACAAATCTCATAATTTACACTTCCTAAAATACAAATTACACCCAAATCTCGCAAAAATCTTACCATATCACCGCAAACAATTCATTCCAATGTAAAAATATATATTGTAGACGGCAAATTAAAAGCAAAACTTATTAATTCCTATTTCCCTATATTAATTTGAAAGATACTGTATTGTAACTTATTCGCTAATTAGACACAAATCTCGCAAAGATCTTTCCATATCAACACAAACTATCAATGCCAATTTAAAAACATTTCTTTAAATGCAAAACTCAATCATTTGTATTTCTCTATATTAAAAGATATAGAATTTCTAACTTATTCTATTTCCCTTATTAGTTGGTATTAAAAATCACACAATCTCTTCAATATCCAGATTCAGTTCGATATTGATATACCAAACAAGTAAATCTCCCTAAATCAAGCATATACCTCTAAGATCCTAATCCCAAATTATCTTATACGGCCTATATTCTCTAAAACCTAATAAAACTAAAGGCTCCATACGAGTACTATAAATATAGGGACGTGCAGTAGACAGAACTCACCTTTCAAAGCATTACCATTACCACTACACTATTTCTCTAAGAAAATGGCAGCTGTGCAAGCATTCACCCCTCTTGCTGACATTAAGCCCTTCAAAACACCTTGGAAAATTCAAGTTAAGATTGTGCATTCGTGGACACAATACACTCAATTCACAGGGGAAACAGTTGAAATGGTTCTTGCTGATACAGCTGTAAGTATAAGAACTATCATTTTTCAATCAAATAAACGTTTATCAATCATCAATATCAATGATTATTAACATGAGTTCTTTTTATCTGTTGGCAGGGTACTTTGATTCATGCTACTGTTAAGAAGCCACAAGTGAGCAAACTCCAAAGGCTCATAGTTTCTGGAGAATGGCGTATTATCGAGCATTTTACACTAACCAAATCAACAGGAAAGTATCGAGCCACGAAACATGGTTTCAAGATGTCCATGATGGAAAAAACTGTGATAAGTCGCACTCCTGCTGTTTCTGATGACATTTATTTGGATCTGGCAAACTTTCCAGATATCCTGAATGAAGCAGGATTGAGTGAAAACATCTTAATTGGTACTATATCTATCTTACTTTCCATTGTATATTTTCTTTTTCTATTATAATAGGAACTTCTTCATGAAAATCTAATTTATTACTCTCTTATTTTGCAGATGTACTTGGACAAGTTGTTAGTTTCAATGAAATGAAAATTCATGATGTTAACAACAAGATCACAAAGAGACTTGAGTGTGAACTCAGAGACACAAAGTAAGTTTAGTCAATATCTACCTTTTTTATTTAATCTTACATACATCTAAACTTAAAACTTTCTCACAATTTTTGTTATATTGTAGTGATGAAAGACTGAAATGCACTCTTTGGGGGAGATTTGTTGAGGCAATGTATAATGCATGTCAAAATGCAGGGACTGAGAGAGTGATTTGCTTGCTTCGGCTTGCAAAGATCAACTCATTTAAAGGTATAGAATGTTGTTACTGGATTCTGAATGCATTACTTTGAAATCGAAATGAAATCAGAACATATGTGTTTAACACTAATATCATGCTGTTTTTAGGTGAAAGAGCTGTTTCAAATTCATTTGATATGTCTCTATTGGAAATCAATGCTAACTACCCTGCTGTTCTTGAGTTTGTGGCCAAGTAAGAGATATGTCTAAACGTCACTTTTTTTTTTGCTAATATATAACTGTGAATCCTATTTATATTATCTAAAGTTGATTTCATTTTCTTTTATTTGTTAAAAATAGTTTACCACCTGATGTTGTGCCACTGACTATCGAAGACTCGAAGGCAAAACAAGTGAATGCAGAACAGAGAAAAAAGGATTACTATGATCGTTTTCCAAGGAAAACCATCTCTGGACTCTTTTGTTTTTCTGAGGTATTTGTATTTGATAATATTCTTTTTTTCTAGCAACTATTCAATTCTCTGTCTATACTACTAATTATCTATTTTTTTGTTTAGACTGGAAAGTGCAACATAATTTGTACCATAATGAATATCGACACAGACTATTCTTGGTATTTCTTTAGTTGCCTCAAGTGTACCAAAACTGCCTATAAGATTCCAAAGGTTGAAAATGAGATTGTCAAGAAAGGTAAGAAAGAAATGTTTTGGTGTCCAACATGTAAGGAAGACACTCCTAAGGTGATACCAAGGTAAGACTTTGAGATTTGCTAATATATATCTACATTTGTCAGATAATAACTATGTATCTAATCTACTTTCCTGTTCCTTTGATATGTAGGTATCTTTTAAACGTTGGAGTGATGGATAACACTGGGGACACTAAATGTCTTATCTTTGATAAAAGTGCACAAGAGATAATCGGTGTGTCTGCAGCGGATTTGCTGGAAGGGAAGTGGGATGAGGTAAACAAATTTGTTGTTAATATGTATATAGACCATAATATTCAAATCTCTTATATACTTTTTTCAATCTATCATAACAGATTCAGGATCCTACAAACTTGCCTCAGCAAATCAGAGAGTTGGTTGGAAAGACTTTCCAGTTTCTGGTGACTGTTGGAAAGGAAAACATCAATGAAACTGATGATACCTACAAGGTTTCAACCGTTTGGCTGGGTAATGAATCTGACAATCTAGATACTGTTGAAGATTCTGACCAGCAGACTGACCAACGTAATGACCTCTCTATTGATCAGGTAATGTTAGTAGGTGCAACCAAAATCAATCTATCAAAAAGTTATTCAAGTTTATCACTAAAGGGCTGGATCGTGTTTCAATTAAATAGTGAGTACCATCAGTTATACTCAAGCCAGGGAATAAATTATGCATACTTATAACTATGTAATTTAATGACTTTGTTATATGAAAGAATTATCTATTATATATTGACTATCATGATTTTCTGCATTGACAGGAAGGACTTGCTCTGACCAATAGTAGTGAAACCACTGACCCTTTAGGTCCTACATCATCCACTCCTTCATCTAAGCGTAGTATGGATGCTGTTTCTGAGGACATTGAAGGTCAGGGTTCTACTACTAAAAAGGCATGTGTCTCTTCCATTCTTGGTGACATTGAGAAGGAAGAGATTGAAGGTGGCAAGAATTAAGTTGTGCTGGCTGGGAATAATGTAGGGAGCTTGGTTGTAGCAATTAGTTTTCTATTTTTTTCTTTTGTTCAAGTTTCAAAACTTCTTTATTTATTTCCTTTAGCTATTTGCTATTTAGTTTTCAGATATTTTCAGATCAAGCAATAAAGTCTAAGCTTCTCCTTATACTAAACTCTTTGCAAAATATAAACTAACTTGTGCTTAAACTAAAGATCACAAAACAGAGAGAGAAAATATACTAACCTGTGATTTGTACTGATGAATCTTGATATATAAGCCCCATTTTAGTAGCTAAAACTGCAGACAAAAGAAAACACATGTTAGTATATAACAAACAGAGACTAAGATAAAATATACTAATCTGTAGATATCTATACTATTAATGGTTAACTTAATTAATAGTATAGATATAAGTACATATATTTTAAATGGCATATCTGCAAGTATTTTAAATTAATTTTAATCAAGCTTTAAAAATCTATCTCATCTTCTAAATCGTTAACAAATTGGAATAGTATAGCAGTTGAGATAAATCAGTTTTAAAAGATTTCATTGTTGTATTATAACAACTGTTTTCAATACCAAAGCTGGCATATTTAACCTATTAATATACAAGATTCTAACAATAAAAATAAGAATCAATCAAGTAAATATTATTATGAATATGGAAAACAAAATATATTCTGTAATCTTTACAGTTTAATGCTATCACACTAAATCAGGATGAGCCGATTTCTTTATAATCATTACATAACCATTTAACACCTTCAATCCTAATCTACAGCTACTCGGCACATTTGCAAAGAAACATCTATAAGGTCAGTCTTTTAAGCTCTTTCAACATTGAACATGTTCATATACAAATGACATAATTGGAATTAATTTTGCTCACAAATCAATTTTGTTTTTCAGGATGAAGAGAAGAAAAAATGAAACAGTAAAAGAAAATAACAATGTATTGCAGACACCTAACACAAAGCGTTCTAGATCTCTGCTGAATGATGAAAACATAAATCCAAATCTACAGAGCCAACAAGATAGGAGTGATGTTCAAGTAAAAGGGATTTTTAATCGATTGAGATCTGGAATAGGTAACATACCAGCCCAGCTGTGTGATTCTGAAGCCTTGCAGACAGTAACTGGTCCTTCTTCTTCTGCAGCCATACAAAAAGAAACACAAGGTATGTAAACATTTATATTCCAACAATATAGCATCTACATATGATATGCTATATAATAAATAACCATACTGGTTTATGATTTGAGTCTACAGTTACTTATAATACGAGTGTAAGATCAGCCAAAAAAACAGCAAGGACACAGAGAAGACCTTTTCAAGATGTGCAGAACCTGACAAATTCATCACAGCTTCACAGCGAGGTTCACCAAACTCCACTTAATCCACATAAGCCACCAGAAAAAAAGGGGAAAAAGTGGAGTCCTCCATCTGTTAACAGCAAACAAGGTATACATGCCTCTCAATAATATGAAACTATTACATAAAAAGTATTAATAGATCAACACTGATGGAGTAATGTTGATTTCATGAAGCTACTAAGGGTATTATACTTACCAATTCAAGAAACACTCTGAGGTTCCCAAAGTCTTTGGCAAAGGAGAAAAAAACATCTCACAAGAGTTATGATCCAACAATAGAAGAAGACTCTGATGAGATCCTGAATTCAAAGGAAGAAACATATATAAATATGAGTAAGTAAAAATCATTATGATATATTTTCTAAACTCAATAAAGCATTCACTAATAAGGGAAAAAAATATTATAGGGGATTTGGGTGAAACACGTGAACAGGTTTACGAGTGTAGTAGTCCAGATGAAAATGATTCAGAAACATCAGAAGATTATGAAAGCATAGACGATATCCCAATCGAAGTCAAACAAAGATATGAGTTTTTATCTATGTTAGATGAAAGTTTGACCAAAGCTTTTGGAGAAAGAAAAACTCCTAATGTTTCTAGCAGAAAGAACAAAAACACAGGTACTACATCATTGGTTTAGTTCTAAATCTTTTCTTAAACAAACTTTACCTATGCTAAACTATCTTTATGTTATTGTAGAGTATCTAGATCATGGAGATCCTGTCTACTCATGTTCCTACTGCGGTGCTATTATGTGGTATGGAGAACGCATCAACAGACATAAGAAAGTTCGTAAACCAATTTTTACTCAATGTTGTTTGCAAGGATCTGTGAAACTGCCTTTCCTCCATAATCAACCAGAACTGTTATTTGCTTTGCTAACCAATGATGATGACATGAGTAGACACTTTAGAGAGAACATCAGAGCATATAACATGATTTTTTCGTTTACTTCTCTTGGGGGTAAATGTGATAATTCTGTAACAGCGGGAAGAGGTCCTAATATGTTTCAGATTCAAGGAGAGAATTACCACCAGATAGGAAGTTTGATACCTGGAGAAGGTGAATTTCCTAAGTTTAGTCAGCTATATATAGTTGACACCGAGAATGAAGTTGAAAACAGAGCAGGAATTTTAAGGTACATTTTCTAACTCAAAACAAGCAATTATAGTATCCAGAATATGTGTTTTTTTCTGTAAGTATTACTGTCGTTGCTGACTAAATTTATATTTCAGCAAAGGAAAATCTGCTGGGAAATATAAGAAGAAGCCAGAGCTGAGAAAAGATATAATTGAGGCGATAATAAAGCTGCTAAATGAAGTTAATCCATACGTTGCTCATTTTAGACAAGCTCGTGATAGGTTTAATACCAATCCTGAGGAGAGCTTTCACATGAAAATAGTGAGTGACCGTGTCAGAGATGGAAGAACATATGCAGTGCCAACAGCTTCAGAGGTCGCAGCGCTGATTCCAGGTGATTTTCATGTTGGTATGCCAAGTCGTGACATTATTATTGAAGAAAAATCTGGGTATTTACAAAGAATCAGTGAAATAGAACCATGTTATCTTGCTCTACAATACCCTTTGTTGTTTCCAAAGGGTGAAGATGGTTATAGGACAGGTATTTTGAAAGGGAATAACCATGGTAAAAAGAAAAACAAGCCCGAAGGAACTGAGGAGAATGATTGCATAAGTTTGCGTCAATGGTATGCGTATCGTATACAAGAGAGAAAGAATGAACAAAGTATCCTGCTAAGGTCAAAACGGTTGTACCAGCAGTTCTTGGTTGATGCTTATACCACCATTGAAGCTAATAGGCTCAAATATATTAAACTGAATCAGTCAAGTTTACGAGCTTCTAACTATGACTCAGTTAAAGAGGCGGCAACAGCAGGAAAGACAGATATGAATGAAGAAGGAAAAGCATTTTATCTACCAGCTACTTTTGTTGGTGGGCCAAGATACATGAAGAACATGTACATGGATGCAATGTCTACATGTAATCATTATGGATTTCCTGACCTATTCATTACGTTCACATGCAATCCAAAATGGCCTGAGCTGGTAAGATTCTGTACTGAAAGAAATTGTAATTCCGATGATAGGCCAGAGATCATAAGCAGAATGTTCAAAATGAAGCTGAATTCTCTAATGGATGATTTAACGAAGAAACATATATTGGGGAAGACTGTTTCATGTAAGTGATTTATTTTATATGTAAAGTTTACAGTCTACAATTTAAGTATCTGTTTCTGTTATTTTTTTTAAATGTCGTTTACCTAATATTATTATCTCATGTTGTTCTCGCAGCAATGTATACAATTGAGTTCCAGAAAAGAGGTCTTCCTCATGCACATATATTGATATGGATGCATCCAAGTTCTAAGTTTCCAAAACCAGAAGACATTGATAAAATCATTTCTGCGGAAATTCCTGACAAGAATAAAGAACCGGAACTTTATGAGGTCGTTAAAGACATGATGATTCATGGACCATGTGGCGTCATCAACCAGAGTTCACCATGTATGGTTGAAGGCAAATGTTCTAAGTTTTTCCCAAAAAAACTTAGAGAACATACTAAGGTTGATAAAGAAGGTTTCCCTTTGTACAGAAGAAGAAAGACAAAGCTGTTTGTGGAGAAGTGTGGATTTAAGTGTGACAACGGATATGTTATACCCTATAACAAGAAGTTGTTGCTTCGCTACAGAGCTCATATTAATGTTGAGTGGTGTAACCAAACTGGCTCTATCAAGTACTTATTCAAGTATATCACTAAAGGGATGGATAGAGTTTCAGTAGTTGTTGAGCCTAATGAAAAGTCTTCAAAGACTACAACTACTACAGAGAAGTCTGATAGTTCAAACAGTGGAGGCACAAGTAAAAATGAAATACAAGACTTCTTTAATTGCAGGTATAAAATTGTTTTAATTTTTGGTAAATAGTTTATGATAACTCATTTCTAACTAATACATGTTTTATGATATTGTATCAGATATGTATCAGCATGTGAAGCTGGATGGAGAATCTTGAAAAATCCTATACATTATAGGTCAACGTCTGTTCAAAGATTATCCTTCCATCTACCAGGCAAACAACTATTATATTTTAAAGCTGATGATGAGGTGAAAACAGTTTTGAAAAAATCAGAATTACAGAATTCGATGTTTCTTGCTTGGTTTGAATTGAACAAGCGGTGTCCTAAAGCGAAAGATCTCACATATACTCAGATTCCGGAATATTATACTTGGGATGGTAAAACAAGAACTTTCAATATGAGGAAGCGACCAGGGAAAACAATCGGAAGGATTAATTATGTCCCACTTATTTATGAGGAAGGTTATTATTTAAGAGTGCTTCTAAATCATCAAACTGGACCTGAAAGTTTCGAAGACATCAAAACAGTTAATGGCGTGGTGTACAAATCGTTCAAGGAGGCATGTTATGCTCTGGGTTTGCTAGACGATGACCAGGAGTATATTGATACAATAAAGACAACCAGTTTTTGGGCTACTGGGAACTACTTGCGTTGTATGTTTGTTGTAATGCTCCAGTCTACCAGCTTATCTCAACCAGAAGTTGTTTGGGAAAAAACATGGGAACTTCTATCAGAAGACATCGAAAGAAAAAGGAGAGAGTACTTTAAAAGACCAGGTAATTTTTGTAATATATTACAGTCTCTTTGGTTGGTTTAAAGAGTTGTTATTTTCAAATTAACAGTAGACAATGTCATGATTTTTAAATATTTTTGTTGACACAGAACTAACACTTACGGACGAGCAAAAACA